AACAGCGGCCTCTCTCTTAAATCACCTTGTTGGATGACAATGTGACAACGTTCCTCACGATTTCTTTTTTAACTATTCCACATTGACGAATTCTTACTTCCTCAGCTACGGTTCTTCGACTTCCTCTCTTCATCTTCAACCTGCGAAACCGAACGATCCAACGCCACGCTTCCGCCCTGCTTCTGCATTGATCGACACAACATTCAACTCCGCGACATTTCCCACCCCACGGCCTACAGAGGCTCGTGATGTCCTCCAGTATGAACTCGCTCAAGGTTCCCGAAAGCGGGCTGCAGCTGGAGGGCTCGACTGGCAAGGATGCCAGTCTCCCTTCCCAGGCTTTTGCCGTCACCCTGAGTGACAATGTTATTGAGGACATGATCAAATGTGTCCAGAATGGAGATGGCATTCAACTTGCTCTTGGAGCCAATCCCGTAAGTTCACAGAACCTCTTGTCGCAGCGGTTTCAAGCTTGGAGGTTTGGCTCATGTTTTCGAATGCTAATGTGCCCGTGCCAGACCTTGCTCTTCGGTTCCAAATCCCACGCCATTGAGCCGCCCTCCGACTCGAACCCATATGATCTTTACCTCACACGACCTTTCGAATCGACACGAACTGCAGAAAAGATACCATATACTGGCTCTCTCTTTGAAAAACCATCAGGCGCTACTTCGAAGAAATTGAAGACTGGCAAGGCCGACAGCACCACTGACGGCAAGACCGCGAAGTCCAGCAGGAGTGCCCAATCAGGACGAGATTCTGACATCGAGGCTCTTCAAAATGGACTTGCGGCTCATGCTGCTTCTCAGGAGAAGTCGGTCTCACTTGCATCTAGTTTTGGGATGATCATACTGACATGTTTTGAAGGACTCGCGTGGTTGACAGGTTACCAGCGAAGAAGGCAGCTATCAAGGGCAAAAGCAAATTGCTCGACTCAACTCCACGATCGATCCCCCAGTCACCCGGTCAAGTTTCACTCGGGTCGCTTACACCCAACCCTACGACATCACAGCCCCTTGATCGAGCCAAGGGAGACCGAGCTATGCTGGTGCATGAGCTTGCTGTGCAGGACCGCTCATTTGATTACCTGGCCAAGAAGTGGGAAGGCAAGGTGGAAGACATGGAGCCGACGCTTCGAAAAGTTGCTGATGATCTCGACGATAACAACAAATGGTCACTGAAGAAGAAGTCCTGGAGAGACCTTGATGTTTGGAATTATGATTATGATACCCAAGAAGTACGACAGAAGGCGATTGACAACGCCGTTCGACAATATGACAAGCAGAGAGTCACTATCTCGGAGCCAGAGTGGGACAGATTACTACCCAAGGAGGAGCGAGGAACTGGCAAGAGTCTTAGCCGAGTGCAGGCTAAGATTACAAAGACTGTCAGCACGCCGTCAATCAATGTTGAAATGGCGGATGGAGGCACAACGCCTCGAGATAGTGGGGATTCTCAGGACGCCAACCGGCCAAGGGTTGGAGGAGAGGCCATGTCGAGGTCCACCTCAAACCCTCTTTCTACTAAGCCCAAGAAGCCCACTGCACAGGAGGCCCAGGTCAAGCGCCTTTTGGGCAAATCCAAGGCTAAGACGACGGCATCAGCTGCACCCTCCAAAACGACATCTAAGGTGTCTTCCGCTAAAGCATCTCCCACCAAGGCACGGTCCACCGCAGCGCCCAAGGCCAATGGGGGAAGGGTTCTATCGCAGGCCATCATTTCTAACTCGGACACCTCAGAGGATGATGCTGCTCCTATGATCAAGCCTAAGCCGAAGGCTGTGCCTAAACAGGTACCCAAGATGAGAGACACGGTCGTTGCCAAACCTCGACCTGTGGTAAGGGAGCCATTGAAGCAGCAGATTACGGCCAAGCGACCTCGCGAGGATGATGACTCGAGCTCGAGCTCTGGAACACCATTGTCGAAGCGCATCAAGCCCAAGCAGCCTCTTCCTGCCCCTAGACTTAAGCATCGACCATCGGACGCAAGCCAGAACTCTCGCGGAACGATAACCTCAACCTCGATGAAGAGCAAGAACACGTCCCCAACGAAGTCTTCTCCTCTGGCGTCATCGCCACCCACCAATGCCTCGGATCTGGAGAATGAGGCACCCGCTGCTTCAATTGTTGCGAAGAAGCGCAAGGTTGAAGGCTTCAGCAAGGGTGGTGTCACAAAGCGACCTGCAGCGTCAAGATTTTCCGACGATCTTGTGCAGAAGGCACAGGCGTTCAAACTATTTTACCAAAAGTATGAGACTCTGCACCATGAGATTTCAGCGCTGGACAACCCTTCAAGCAGGAAGCTGGGCCATCTGATGGAAATGAGAGACCGACTGAAAACGATGAAGATGGAGATTTACAGCGAATGTCCCCCAGAGAGGAGCTAAAAGGCGGCAATAATACAACAGAATAAGGACAAGATAGGGTGTGGGTGTTTGATTTCAACGGCGTACAGCATCACGACCGGATAACTTTTACAGTTGCATTTTGCATTGGGAAAACAGGATCTGCATGAACGAGCCACCTGTCGGACAGGAACGGAGCTCTCTCTGATATTTGCATCGTATTTCTTCTTCTTTTTTTTGATTTTTTTTTTGATACCACATGAGAAGACAAGATAGGCCAAACGCGGCCAGAGACAAAGCCAAGCCAAGGCAGGCATTTAGATTAGGCAAAGCAAAAGCCAAACAATACAATACAGAAAATGTTGAAATTGAAATCATGATATTCATGTAGACTACATTGAGTGACAAGAGAAACCTGGTGATTGATTGAGAGCCTGGCCCAGTTGCGAGTAAAATCAGTCAATAGTGACAGTGATTACTGGTAGTAGTTGGGTGCATGGGAAGAGGAAGTGGTACTATGACGTGAGGCGCATGTGATGGGGGTGCGTGATTTACCTTTGGATTTACCAGATTGGGCCCTCAAGGTTTGATATGGATGCTGCTGAGAGGGTTGGTTGCATTGGTTGGTCTTTGGTCCGTCCTTTGAGTTTTGAGTTTGGTGGGGCCGTATCAATCTGTGTGTGTGAGCTGATTCAGGACAGGACCCTCCGAATAAAGAGGAGGGATTAGCAAATAGGTACCTACTTAGTTAGCGGCTGATCATGGATGTCTAGGTAGTTTAGAATGGGGCTGTAGAGGACATATTGGTTGCAGTTTGGAGGACATAGGTAGTAGTAATTGTAGTATGGTTTTATTTAGTCTTTGTACCGTTTATGCGACTGGCCGTTGTCAAAAGGCGTTTGCTTGAATCTGTGGCGATAGACAATGAACTCTTGTATGGCGACAACGCAGCTTGAGGGCATTGAATCAAGAAGGGCAGAATTCACCAACATATCTATGTCCTGCAGGCAAACTGGTATTGAAGATGTATAAATATCCGCCCAGACGTGAGCATCTTGATTCTAGCTTCCTCATCAACTTCAGTCTCAATCCCAGTCTCGGTCTCAGTCTCAGTTTCAGTCAAAGTAACTGCCATCACCCCCAATGACATCTAGACGCTCCCAGTTCGTCAAAGAGGCGCCCCCTGGAGCTTACTTCCAAGACCTACCATACGTTTACACTGTCCATCCTACTCAGACTCAAGATCCGTTCCGAAACGTGCCTGCTCGCATGGCTGAAGACTACAGCCCCATGTATCCTCCCTCTTCAGCTGCAACAAACATCTTCGTTCCTGGCTGCTGCCGTCATCGCCGCCGTGCATCCCGGTACTCAAAGACCTACGAGAGCGAAGGCTCAACCAAAAACTATGCTTCTTACGAAGACGTCCAGCCTGCTCAGCCTGCGGATCGTCTCCCACCACGCATCGCTCTGAAACAACTCTCTGATTTTCTCCACGAAGCTGCTATCTTCTACAACACGCAGCTCATGGACTTTGCTCGTGAGCACCAACGTCAAGGCCACGACACCTCCAATGAAGCCCTTCGACAGTGGCTCTGGAACGACTGGACCCGATCTCGCGATAACCCTACCCGCGAGAACTTTACATCTATCAAGGCGAGCATTACACTCTTGCTTCGTCAGGTTGAAACCGCGATTGCGACGCCTTGGCTAGAGAACGCAGACCTAAACGTCAGATTCGACTTCAGCTACAAAGCTCTCAAGAGTTCTTGTGATGAGATTGTCAGATTGTCAGGCAAGGTCATGAGCGATTGGCAAACTTGTCGATTTCTGGCTGTCGAGCTCAAGAATGCCCGTGTTTATGCCGACCCGGAGGGACCTGTTCTGAGACATTTGTTTGTGGGGTGGGAGAAGGGCGAGCCTTGGTGATCCTAATGATGGGAAGACAGGTCGTTCATGTTGCTGGAGTTGTTTTCTTTAGTCTCCTTTGTTGGAAGTTCCTATGTGTTTTGTTGGTTGGAGTTTAGTGACCAGGTCGGTTGCCAGGATGAGATATACAGTACAGACATTGCTAGGGCGACCAATCGGGAAGACGGTAGAGTTTGAGGTTCATAGCTCCCTTTCCCCTGGTCAGTCAGCCACGTGGGCCATGCCGATCACTCATTCGAGAGTGCTTGTGGCGGTGCAATGCTGCATGATGTGGCTTTAACGCCAACGTTGATACATACTCACGAGCTACCTATGATAGGAAGATAGACTTGACCCAATTAGATGTTAGCCAAAAATTCGCAACTTTTTTTTAATTGTTAACAATTTTTTTTATTTGCCGTCAGTAGACAAGACAATGTGTGGATTACAATAGCGTTCTTTTCCCCCCAGACTTCTCCTTTGTAAAAAATCCCTAGTGAACAGAGACTATGTTCTAGACTCAAGGTGTCTCCGAATATGCGCTGCAGCATACAAAGCCTTGTGTTCTTGCTGAGGGCATGTTGAACAGTTAGTTTCCTGATCAAAACTTCTGTTCTGAATTTGTTACTGTTGAATTCTCTTTTTGCCACACCGACAATCTCCTTCTCTCACTCTGATTATTCCTCTGAGTTAACCTCACCATAATTGGCAAATAAGTGTAGAAAGCAGAGACTTACTTAGGCTCATCATCATGGGTATCGAAGCACTCGATTTCCCCCAAATGTGGGAACGTCCCAGTTACACTCAACTAGCAGACATTCTCCAGAGTCTCGAACTTAGCCCTCCAATCTGGAACCACAAGCGCCGTCGCTCTGAGATCATCGAGGAGCAAGAATCTCTCGCCAGCCAGCGCAAGGCAGAAGTCACTCGGTATCTCTCCTCTATCATCAAGAGCCCCTTGTCATGGATCGACGACGATGATGAAAAGGAGGTTCTCTGGACGCAGGCAAGCAAGCGCATGTCGGAGCGGTGTGGACGCACAGCTATGGGAGAGGTTATTCGCAGGTGGCCTTTTGGAGAGGGGAACGATGAGTTCGAGTTGATCATTCGAGAACCGGCGCTCACAGGAGATTCTTTGGGTTTCAAGACTTGGGGGTCTTCATATGTGCTATCGCAGCATCTTCCTCGCATGGCGGAGACATCTCTATTTCGATTATTCGATGAGACGTTGGGCCAACCACGACCTGATGTCCTTGAACTCGGTTCTGGGACTGGACTCTTGGGCCTTGCTGCAGCAGCTCTATGGAAAGTCCCCGTAGCACTCAGTGATCTTCCAAACATCGTTCCAAATCTCAGAGAGAACGTGGCCAAGAACACTGAGCTTGTCAAGTCTCGTGGGGGATCGCTCACAGTTGGCGATCTCACCTGGGGAGGGAGCGAAGACGAGGTCGATCAGACCCTGTTTGGGCAACCGAATCAGTTCAAGGTATGTTTTTGCTCGTAGAGAATCCGTGATTGCAGGGCGACGCTTATATGACTCTTGCTTACAAACGATGTCTGACCCCCCTGGTGACTAGATTGTCCTCGCGGCTGATCCCATGTACGACGATGAACACCCAGCGCTTCTCGCCTCAGCCATCAGCGACCACCTTGCTCTTGGCTCCGATTCACGCGCTGTCGTCATGGTCCCGCGTCGGGATGCCACCACAGAACGCCTCCTCGAGTCGTTCCGCCAGGCTATGCTTGACCTCGACACCCCCTTGTTCTGTGAGGAAGAGGACGAACTTGCGGGGCAGGACGACTGGGTTGAGGACGATGACGCGGGCAATGTGCGGTGCTGGCTGGGTGTCTTCAGCCGTGGTGGCTCACCGCCGTCTCAAGTCGGTGATGCAGCACCCATAGAGCACTCTCTGACTGGCCACGGCAGCCAGTGAGTAATAGACAAAGGGGGAGTCAGGTGCTTGAAGAAGAGACGAAGTTGATAGATGCGATGGAAAATATCAGACGAACTACCTTAGACAGAGACACTGAGCGAGTGAGGAAGCATAGCCACAATAGAGACCAATGATTTTATGCAAGCAATTGCACTGTTTGAGTCATGGATCTCCCGTGAACAATCAGCAGACGCTGCTTTAGGGAGTAGTTCATAAGGAGCCCTTCTCTCCCTCTTTTATGCTTCTGCTTCTTCTCTTCTTCTCCACTTCTACGAAAACACACCGCACACAACACCAACACCACCTTCAAAAGCTGCTTTTCTCTACAACATACAACAGTTTCTTCTTTCTCTAGGGAAGAATTGATGACCAGCCTTGGTATACTTTCTTTTATCCACTTGCATAATTTCATCCACGCTCATGCTACGTCAGGATTCAGTGCCAGTTCTTAGTTAACTGACAACTAACTAATTCAAGTCTACAACTCGAGCTCCTACTCACGGCCTTTAGCAAGGGTCTCAACGGCGCTGATTAACCCTCAATCAATCGATCAAAGGCCGTACTTAAACATCAAGCTCAGACATTCATTGTCTTTCTGTTCCTCCTGAATAACAACCTTTACTCAACCGTCTATCACCCACAACCTCACAACACTCACCATCGCTGACCGCTTAGACATTTCTTGGACAGTTACACTTCAGACTGCTTGGCACCTTCAACACTTGTTCCACAACTTTGCTTATTTTCTTACTTCTTCCAAGATGACCGGAAAACCAGTTTACAAACCTGACGAGATCCGCTTTGCTTTGAGCCTCATGGAGAAGGATTTCTACAACGATGCGATATCTAACGCTTTTCGGGAACGATTCAACCGAGCACTGACAGACAACCAGATTAGATATTTGAGGAACAAATACGGCAAGGATCCTGACTATGGGTGAGTTGTCCTGTACCAAAAGGTCTTGCCACTTGCTTTTGAAATCGACTAACCGGTCTTTGCTCGTAGAGCTCCCCTTTGCAATAAGCAATCCAAGAAACGAAAAGAACGTCGATCTGACTCTGGAGCTGGTTCTTCCGCTTCACCGGGCTCAGAGTACGTTGCGAACACCGCCCCGATATCCCTTTCCGCGTATCTCTCTAACCCAAGAAACAGAGGATCACCGGCTGAAGCCAAGAGAGCTCGCCAAGGGTCTTTCAAAGCTTCAGCAGGACCTTCTCAACAACCTCCATACCAGTTTGAGTCCCTTCCAACGCAATCACCAGTCAAATTCGAAGACATCAAGTCCCCAAGCCCGTCCTCTGTCCCCTTGTTCCACGCAGCACCAATGGCTCAGATGGGAAATCTTCGTTCACCACCTCCAAATTCCTACAGCCTCTTCTCGGGAGCACCAGCCCCGACAGGCTTGCGTTCTATGCCTCTAGCTAACTCTTGGCAGACGCAAGCTAGGGCAAACTTCAACACCAACTTTTCCCCGATCAACACTCATTTTGGTCAACACCAAATCAAGTCACCAGAACAGGGAAGCCCTGAGGGCTGTAACGCCGCATTATACCAGACACCTCATCAGTCACCCAACGCCCAGCTTTCATACGCCTCTTATTTGAGACAGCAACCAAGAGCTAGCTCTCACGCACCAGTCTCATCTCCGCAGCAGACCGTGGTCGTAGGGGGCGGAGTCTAGGAGCCCTCCGCTACTCAACACTCACCGTCGTTTAAGATGGAGATGCCCCTATCCAATTTTTCTCAGCTCTCCGATTTCGTGTATCCTCAGCAGGTATCACACGCTGAAGAGTATACGCAGGAGCAGGAGCCTGAGATGCCCAGACAAGGTGATATCGCCCCGATGTATTGTGAGGAGTACTTCGAACCAACTCAGCGAGCGGCTGAGCAAAGCGAAACGCAACCAACCCAAGATCAGGATGAGGAAAACCCAGAGAAGAAAATTTCACAAGATCGTAAGCAATCTGCTGCTTCGGGCGCCTCTCGCGACAGCAATGAGCACCAATCTGCCAAAGCAGGTTCCTCACACGACTCCAAGAACTAGAGTGGTGACGACGGGGATCAATGTGACGATCAACTTCAAGATGCTCAGTACTACCTGGGATCTGGAGTTGCTCATCACCAAGCCGTGCCCCTGAGGTGGTGGCTAAATTTTCCCACATTGTATACTATACCTGACATAACCTAATCCCTGGGGACTGGCGATATCTCAAATACCCTATTCCTTCTCCGTGATAGATCTGGGCCTCTTTGTCGCTCCTCAAGGCAGTGATTCGTCTTTTGTTTGACCTGTCCACAGGCAGGGCCACACGTATGGCGAAAAACACCAGCTGAGCGTTCTGAGAATTGTTTCCCAAGGCTGTGGGCTCAGTGCATATCACGAGGCGTATAGGCCTGTCGCATGTGTTAGAGTTGATACCCAAGCTGAAATCCACAGAATTAGATAGGCAGAGAGACTCGGTTTGGATACCTAGTTCTTAGGCTACTTAGCATAACGAATTAAATAGCTTGCACTTATCTCGATCCACTCGTGCCATACAATAAATCATAACATCTTGATATAAGTTTGGAAAATTGATTTATCCAAATATTTCTGGGCTTACCCTCCAGCTCTCTAATATCATCAACTCGTCCGCTAGAGCTTTCCAACAGGGTATCTCGTGCAAGTAGAAACGAACAGACCATCGCATAAACCTCTTCAGGATGCCTCTCCAATCTCCGGTACAAAAATTGTGATGTGTGTGTAAGCATGCTGGCATAGAATAGTCCCTTAAATCCTTGTGACCCGACTCCCAAAAACTCTCCAGTATGAAATAATAACATTAGACGTAACGTGGCATAAGTATAGGCAATTCGACGCAACCATTGCGTTGAAATAGAAGGTTATGAATATGGTTGAGCATGTTTACACCACAATGCTGACGTTGCGACGGGTGTCGACCTCCTCAACCGGGAATTGGAAAACGACCTTGAAGAGATCTCGTAGATATGCATATCGCTGTGAACTCTTCATCATCATCTGAATACTCTTGGCCATCTCCTGGGCAGTAACACGCTTGCCTCGAGCTGGTAAGGCATGGTGTCTGGGGATTATGGCATCGGTAAGGACGGAGTTTTTGTATTGTGATAGCAATGTCGAGTGCGAGATGAGAGACCCAAACGATCCAGGAGGAAGATCCTGCACAAATTTTTGTAATGCAGCAGCAGCGGCTTTGGGCTCATGGATGGTATCACGATTGAAGCCAAGATTCATAGCAGCTCGGAGAACGAGTACCTTTGCACGCGTCACATTTGCATCTTCTGATGCAGCTGTAGTGGTGGCTGTGCTTGAAGTCCTGGTGCTGCTCTTTGAGTAGCTGGAAAGATTGGACGCGCTACTCGACCACCGACCGCGGCTATTGTCACTAGGGGTGCCTAGGACAAGAATGTTGGGCATTGTTGGCGAACGACTCTGTGGAGAGATGGGCGTGTCTTCAAACTCGGTTACAGGGGTTTCCGGAACAGCTGGGTTTCTTGGTTTCTCTTCCTGCCGCCCGCTCTTGACACTATCGTGCCTCGAATGGACTGAAGATGGGTTTGATCCTCGGCTCTGTCGGCCGCTCTGATCATTAAGATGCTGAGGGAATGCGTGTCCGGCTCGAGGTGTTCCCCTATCAGGTCGAACTTGTGTCCAGCTGTCTCGGAATACATCGCAGAGCTCCCAGCAGGCTTGGACAGTAGAGCTCAGCAGCTCTTCATCTGGCGGTCTTCCATCTCTTCTGTTCTGCCTGAGATTGAAGAGCATCTCTGCAAGTGCCCAACAGGCCCTGAGCAACTGATCAGTTTCCTCGGCCAGATCACTCCGTTGCTTCATTAGTCGATGACAAAGCGCGATATAGAAGTCTAGTGTGCGTTCTCGGAACTGCTCTGGTAGGGTACCATCCTGAGCACTATAGAGGCTGCCAACTTGTTAGAGTAAGATTCAGCACTTATTAAATGCACTTACTGGTTGTTGAGCTCAAAGCTAACACGCAAAACCGAGTCCGCTGCTTCATCATTACGCTGCCGGACGTCAAATAGCGCTTGACAAAAATCGCGACACAAATCAAGGTTGACCTTGACATTGAAATTGCTCACGTCCTCATCTCGACTGTGGTAGAGCCGCTGACAAAGTTTCCAGCATGTTCTCCATGCTTTTTCGTGGGCATCAGGAATGCCATTTTTGCCAAGAGCGCGGTTACGATTGATTGAACTGAGCTTAGACAAACTGTTGCACAACGTCCAGCACTCAGCAAGAGTTGTTCGTAGAGTCTCGATCTCGTCTTGTTGCTGTGGTATCGGCATGGCTTCTGATTCATAGTCTTCGTCGTCACCCTCAGCCTCGGTTTGTTCGTCGATTTCTAAACAGATTAGCCATATCCGGTGACGAAACCAGTGTTTACTTACTCTCGAGACTACTCGTACTACTCGAACGTAGCCGGGCACCATCGTCCAGCATAGATTGCAGGTCCTGAGCTCGGGGTGTGGCGCTGTCGATGCTGTACCGCACAGGGTTCACATCGGTTAAAATCGGAGGTCGGACAGGATGAGTCGATGTCTGATGACCGTTTAGTATATGACATAAGTTTAGGTCGAGGGTAGCAGACCTTCTCCTGTCCGCCATTAAGAGAGGCTAGGCTTTCAACCTCCGATTTTGGAGATGTCCTTGGACTTGGCCCTTTGTGCTCCATGGCTGGAGGTGCGGCGGCAGCTGGAGCAGCCTGAATGGTGTTAAATGTGTCGTATCTATAATGACTATGAAACTTACCCAGCTGGAAAAACTTTCTGGTGCATGGATGACAGAAATAGCCTCCTCGTTGCTGGACTGGCGCACACTCTCCGGTAAGTTAGTTGTGAGCATCAAGAGCTGTGGTCAAGTTAGTTCATAGCCCAGGATGTCGGTGGTGCCCATTGTGACTGACCTCTGACCGACGGGTAGCCTTTCTATCACTAACTTCCTTCTCAATATCCTCTGAGACAT